CACGGTTAAACATCACACTATATCACTCATAATGCATGAAAATATGATGAATGTCAACCGTGTTCTACTTAATTAATAGAGGATCTGTGGAAGACCACATTCTACCGAGGTAATGTTCTACCTAGGTGACGTGGACATGGTCTCATAGCAGGACAGAAAGGCGTCTAATTGGGGAATCGCGTCGCACGAGGATTGGACCAAATGTTGCAATAGAGTTGGGTCGTCTGTACAAAACTTGACAGTCTGGGATGTTGCTGGCCGCACGGATGAGCAGTAGGGGCAGCTGGGTTAACTCTCTGGGCAAACTTGGGGAACAAGACCTCACACCCCTATATAAAGGGGAGTGGTAGGTTAGTTTTAGAGTTACATTCTCTACACACATTCATACACTTATTTAGTGTTCATTATCTTGAATTGGGGGCTGACTTAGGTATCAAAGGCGCTTCACTAGAAAACTCCCACTTCCGGTGTTGAGTTCTTGTAGATGTGGAGGTCGTTCGAGGTAGAAGAAGTCGTTTTTTCATCATAGTAGTTCGAGCAGAGACCGAGTGAAGTATATTTTGTTATTATTGGTGCTGTTTGTAGGAAGTTCGAAAATCCAGATTCACAGCCATGGTAAACGATGTTCCTATCCAAAATTTGGCATCCACATTCAATGAGGCGTGGGTCAGCGCAAGGCCATGGGTAGCAGGTCCCCCGCATGGCTTCTCAACTGATTCTCTGGGTTTAAGGACTCCGTTGCCCAACAACCAAAGAATGGGGAGCATTTCGCTAGATCCACCAGCCACTGATGGCTCAAGCACACATGAAGGATTGACACCTACAGGAGTCGTGGCGGTGGAACCAACACTGGACCAGTTGGAGGCTGTTCAGACTCAACTCATGGGACCACCTAGAGGTTCTCCCGCTCAAAATCACATCACAATGACCAAGGCGGAGCGGGCCCAGGTGCAAGTACAGCAGGTTGATCATCTGGTCACAGCGACAAACACCACCACTCAGACGACCAAGTAATAAGAAACTGAGTTATAGGAATTCAGTACTTTGGTGATCAAGGTCGAGAAGGATTGAGCCCTAGAAAAGATGGTCGAACAAATTTGACAGCTCCAAGCGAAGGTTGAAGGGAAGAAGGCAGGACGGGCGCGAGTCATCCCTTTTCTCACGATATTTTGTAGGCAGATCTACCTACAAATTTCAAAGAGGTTAGTCTCACTTATGATGGGCCCTCTGACCCAACTAGGCATTTACGTTGCTTTGAAAGTATGTTCGGGTTGAATGGTCACTTGTTTGAACGACCCTAGTTTGGGGTTAGGCAAGTGCAGGAAGAGCTCGAAGCTCGTAGGCGGTCAAAATCCACCATGATTATAGCATTCGGGTTTAGTGACCACTTGTTTGAACGACCCTAGTGTGGGGTAGGGCAAGTGCATGAAAAGCTCACAACTCACAGGCGGTCATAATCCATCATGATTAAGGCATTTGGGTAGGGTGGTCACTTGTTTGAACGACCCTAGTGTTGGGTCGGACAAAGATTGATGAGCTCGAAGCTCCCAAGGTAATCAAAGACAAAGATGTTAAAGTCGAATTGATAAGGTCGAATGAACAGATGATTGTTTGTTAGCCATTTCGGACGAACCATTTTC